AAAAAACAAAGAGAGAGAGAGAATATGGTTCATATCATCCAGTTCGATCAAGCCCCTCGTCGAGGACGTTTGCTCTCACCCCGCATGCCTCCTCGGCCACCTTCGCCATGTCCTCCGTCGTCATTTCCGGCGCGTCCGCGTTTGCGATGAGGCCCACTGCCTCCGTCGCGATGGTAGTCTCGATCCCGGCCACGATCACGATTGCGATCCCGCTCTCGGTCCCGCAGCTCGCGTCCACCTCCCCAGCGTCGGTCGTCTTCTGCGTTTCCGGGAATAGGCGGAGGCGGCGGTGGAGGGGGTGCTCCACTGAGAGAGGATGGAGGTCGCAGGCGACCTTCGTGGTCATGGCTGCCCTGGTTGGCATCAATTCCCTCCTCTCGCTCTCGGCGCTCTCGTCGTCGATTCTCATCGCGAGGACCTGGTCCCCTTCGTGACACTTCGCGGGACTCGTGCCTTTCTGCTGCACCTGCGTCACTTCTGCGGCTACGTTCACGCTCGTAATCTCGAGTCCGTTCACGATGTTCTTCTCGTCGGCTGCTGCCCCGGGCTCCATCGTCTTCTCCTCCTCTGCGTTCCCGCTCACGTTCGCGGTCCCGATCTCTATCCCTGTCACGGTCTCGGTCCCGTTCGCGGTCGCGGTCTCGATCCCGATCTCGCATAGACCGACGTGGCTCCGAGCCTGACTCTTCGACTTGCTCGCCGCGTCGACCCCGACTGGGGTGACCATCGTCATCGCCATGAGAGGGCGGTCCGGAAGATCGTCCAGCCATGAGGTCAGGTCGACCCTGCGCAGATCGACCGCTATCTTCTGGAGCCCCGGAAGGCGTTTGGGGTCGAGTTGCTTGAGGGGAAGGTGCGTTCATCGCTGCTTGTCTGTTTGCCCCTCTTCCTCGAATAGTTGTGCCAGGGCCGCTACGGTCAGTAGATCCAACGGACTGCTGAAGCATGTTGTTGATACCCGCAAAGCGTTTATCTCCTCGTCCACGTTCGCCGCCAAAGCCTGACCCTGGAGGTGGTCCGCGAGTACTGGGCGAAGGCCCTGAAGGCGGTGGAAGTGCGCTACGGGGCCCCGAGGGCGGCACGATGGGTGCGGGGGCTGGAGGTTGCTGAGAGCGGGGACCACCATCACTAGACTGTTGCAAGGCCTTGAGTCGGTCAGGGTGAATTCCGCTATTGTCAAGCTTTTCGGTAGCCGGCGACGAGGGACCAGCAGATGACGATTGATCAGGCGCATTTCGCATTCCCTGCCGACCTGGACCAGTGGGTGGTTGACGTTCAGATGATGGCGTTGGCCCGCTAGGTGCTGGTGGTCCAGATTGACCAGGGGCGTTTCGTCCACCCCGTCCAGCATTTCTTCCTCGGGGTCCGGAGGGAATATCTGAAGGTTCTGGGTTACGCAATCGACCATGAGTCATATCGGGACCAGGTGCTGAATCTCTAGAATCGGTGACATCCATTGGAGCTCGTGATCTCTCGCTGCGTGGCCCAGTTGGCGTATCATCATGTCGCATGTGACCCTGAGAGCGGCGGTCATCAAACCGCTCTGGGCGGTTCGGAAGGTCTGCCCGTGGCGGTGATAATGCTCTCGAAGGGAGAGGCCGCCTATCATCCTTTTCTGACCGGCGATGGCTTTCACCGGGGATCAGATCTGCACGGTCAGGGTGCAGCTGGGGGCCAGCTCGTGGACCGCCTGGTCCTTCTCTGGGTGCTCGATCAGACTCAGGTCGGCCCTCAGGTCGACCATGAAAGAGATCAGCAGGAGGGCGTAGCCGCCCTGATCGATCGGGCCATTCGGGCTCTCGTGGAAGTCGTCCGTCGCGATATCCAGGGCCACGGAAGGGTTCGTCAGGAAGTGGTCGTCCCGGGAATTCCCTATCCAGGCGACCATAGTTTCGACCATCGCCCATCGACTGATCAAATGACCGACTGTGCTCATAGTCACCATAACGTCCACCCCGTCCATAGTCCGAATGTCTGTCTCGACGTTCCTCTGGAATATCAGGCCGCATTGGCAATCTTCCATCTCCATGTCTGAAAGGCCGGCTCGGCATGTTTGTTTGTTGACGCACATTGGGGTTGCTTGGTGGAGCCCTATCGGGCTCAGGTCGTTTGGGGATATTTGCTTGCCGACCAGCCTCAGGTCTAGAACTTGCGTGAGACCTAGCAGGAGAAGGAGAGGTTCGGGAACGTGGAGCAGCTTCAGTTTCAGTTTGACCTTCAGGGGCTGAAATAGCAGGCTTTTCGCTGGTTGCCGGCTCATGGCTGGTCTCCAAACGAACTTCGGCAGCTACAGCCGAGGACTCTGTTGTAGGAGCAGTAGATTCTGTTTGCAAGGCAGCACTGGTTTGTTCAGATGGTTTGTGTGCAACATCCTCAGCACCCTTCATCGTAATGTCGTGCATTTTTGCATCCTCAATCTCCCCATCCTCAACTTCGGCCTTTGAGATCTGCGGCTTCACAGCACCCTCGGGTCTGGTGAAAGAATTGTCAGAGTTTCTAGTTTAGTCGTCAATGGAGTTTTATTAAGTTGACTTACTCAGTAGAACCTGGGGGGTTGAACTCAGGCGCAGCCGCATTCAATGGTGTCGGGGTGGCAGATTGGGGCCGTGAAGGTCCAAGTTTTCCAGCTGCACCCTTGTCCGTAGCAAAATGATCGCCCTTTTGCCCACTGGCTCCGGCCTGTCCTTTTCCAAGCGGCTGGCTCGCAATCATAAAGGCTTGCGGCAGCATCCATTTCTTCTCTCGTCGGTTGAGGTCTCCGATCAAGGAAGCAGCCGGCGTCTTCACGTCATCTCGCTCGTCATTGTGGCTCAGATTATTGACGCTGGTAAGCATGTCACGGCCGATCCAGTTGACTGCAGGGAATTGCTGCACGATTGCCTTGAGCACGCTAATCGCATTACGGATGTGCATATATTCGCCACCGTTGAGACAAATCTTCAGTGCAGAAGCCAGTAGACGGTGCCACTTGTACAAAAGTCGACGGAAATCCTCGTATTCCAAGAAGGTCGTCGGTTTGCCCTCGGGATCAACGGTCATCGCAAATCCAGGGAGGTCCTTCTTCGGTCCAAACGCCTCCTTCTCGTATACTGCTTTGTCGGCATGCCAGCGACCAAGATCCCGTAGAATTTCGTTCAGAAAATGACCAAGGTTATCCGCTTCCTTAGAAGTAGATTGGAAGATGAGAGCTGTGAGTCTCTGCTCTCGGAATAGTTGATCCAATAAGCCGACAGTCCGGAAGTTGGGGGTTCCTGAGGTATGAAGGAATTTGAGGATCTTGAAACAGTAGAAAGCGTCGATAGGGGACAGAAGGAGACGAGGGAGGAAGCATTGTTCCAGCAAGGAAACGTTGAGAGAATCGTGCTTCCCCCGCATTCCAGCAAACCATCGGTCCTTTTGGCTTTGCAATTTTGTCCGTGTCTGGCCATAAGATTTCAAATGACCCTTGTTTTCCTCCAATATCCGATCCTGAAGTTGAGTGATCTGCTTCTTCTCTCGTTCCTTCCTCTGCGTCCCTGCCATGCTGATATCCGATCGGTCGTTGCCAATTGCAACAACCTTCTTCTTTTGGCGTTCGATTTCGTCCTCGTACGCTTTCTGGGGAATATGTACATCGTAAAGAGAGAGCTGCCAGAAGGTTACATAGAAATGCAGGCCAACTATTCCCCAAGTGTCTGTGGGAAGGGAAGATCTAACTTGATCTTCCATATCTTGCATGACTGGGTTCAAGGCAGGGGGTTCAGTAGTACCATTTGTTGCGGGCTGTTCAACAGGCGCAGAGCTATCCGACTCGGGTGCATCCTGGGCTTGCTCCTTGTCGACATCCATGGAGTCCTCAGTTGATGGCTCGGCTTCTTTGGTTGGCATTTCCCCATCATCTGCAGGCTCCATCTTCTCATCCTCCTCAACCTTGGCTGGAGTTGTTCCTTCACTCTCACGAGCTTTTGCGGAAGCCTCATCTTGAATTGCCCGTTCAGCTTCCCTAATCTTCTGGGCAACGCTTGGTCGTCGAATCCAAAAAGCGATTTCGGGCTGCACGCCAAAGTCCCTGATGAGAGTAGCCAAGTCGGGGACAAATGAATCGAACTCATCCACTGACAAGTTACTGCGGAGAAGATCCAAGTATTGCGTAAGAATGCGATGGATTTCGTCGAATATGTTGCCCAGCAATTTCAGCTCCGAAGACCCCTCATCCTCTTTGAAGATACATGTCAATCGTTCTTGTGCAATAGCAATTAGCAACTGACCAGCAAGCTTCGAAACAGTGAGGGATTTCATGAGCCGTCTCGAGGTGGTTTTGGACTCGTGTCGCTTATCCAGCAATTGGAGAATTGTCTGAGACTGTAGAATCTCACCACCTGCCATAGCCTGGATTTGAGAGTCGTTGAAGTTGGTATCCGTAATTATACCAGCCATGGAACTGATCATTTGCTCCAGGACGATGAGATCCGTGGAGTTGTTTTGCTGAAGCTGCTCGACAACGTATTGTAACAGTGGAGTAGCATCCATCACAGAATATCTCTTAAATGACCTGCCTGCAAAGGTGGACAGGGCATTAAGCCATCGACTCGTTAATAAACCTCCTTCCTGAACACGGCTTCGTCCCTTCTGTCCAAGTGAGTTAATCAAAGACCAGGTCAAAATGTCGTATCCAAGATAGGTGAAATAACGTGCACACTCCACCACAACCTCGATGAGATTCTCATATGATTCTATCTGACTGATGGCAACGTTGATGACAATTCCAGGATTGGCATATGCGATTTTTGCCAATGCCCGGGCCATTGGGCGAATATTGGTCTTGCTCAGCCTCTTGAGAACATCCTTGGTTTCTGCCCGAGCCTGGTCAAACGCCGATTTTATATCGGGCAAGCGAGAGGTTTGTCCAGAATACCATTCTGCGTACATGTTATACCGGACTTCACGGGGGAAGGAGCTGATGAGATCAAATATCTCATTGACCACACCAGGGTTTGCTTTGGTTAAACTGATAGAGGGAACCAAAAGGCGTTTGCACATATCTTGCCACCGCGCTTTGTTTTCCGGTGAGCGATCCTTACTGAGACTATCCTTTCCTATCCTTGCGAGTTTCGTCAATAGGCTAGGGTCTTGTCCAATCTTATGCCCGGATAGGTTAAGGAAAGAGGAGCAAAGCGCAAAGACATCGTCCACGGACTGACACACCGGGATATTATCAGTCCAATCGTCCCAGTAGAATCGGTAATCCGTCCCGTCGTTTGTATCTTCCTTATCGAGCTGCGCCCATCGTAGCACTCTCCGCGGAGGCGCCTGCGATAGACGGATCTCTCTTCCCACGCCGGACTGGTCCTGGTTCGGTATTTGTTTCTGTTCCCGCAGTTCGCCCATTGAGGCCAAGGGGCGCAGGGAAGAATAAACTTTGTTCAGGCACTGGTGGAGGACACGATGAATGAACTCGGGTAGTTCGGGATATACATCCATGAGCCATGGAAACTTGCTCAAAATGAAGATGGATTCAGGGAGGGCACCAATTGCGAGTAAGCTCTTAAGAAGTAGCACCTTTTGGTCCGATGGCTCTGGTAAATCGTCTTCCTCCGTTTTGCCGGCCACGGATTTGTCTGCGTCTTGTTCCTTCGCAGGGGTTGCTGAGCGAGCTTCGGATTCTCGAGTTCGTGGGATGGGCAAAGTATCATCTGAGAGGGCACCGGCCATCATCAAGGCATTAGTGCCACCGCCAGGCTTCGCAGCCCGTTCTCGTTCCGCCTTTTCCTTCATTTTCTCCTCCTTTAGGACATCCATAGAATCATCGGGTCTCCAAAGGTGAGGGTAGAGGTCGCGGAGGGAGATGAAGCCGACTTTTATAAGTAGTGCTGCAAGGTAAATGAGGTTATCGGGGAGAACGTCGGATTTGCTGCGGGCCCGGGAAGAGTAGAATCGAAGTTTGAACCCGAGAAGCTGCGCTGCAACTCTGCTACCCTTGGGCGGCAAGGTCCCTGTCTCATCGATCCATTTTCGAGTTTCTACCTCCTCTTCTGACAAACTACTCGTTTCCGGGAGAATCTGTTTCCGCTCCTCCTCGGAGATCGGTTTGCGTCCGATCTCAAAGAAAGCGCGAACTCCAACCTCCCTCACTCTAGCCCAGAATTCGCTGTCTCGTTGCTCGTTCGCGCGTGCGATTTCCACTCGTTCTTCATCTGTTGTTACCCACCCAGCCGATCCTGGTAATGCCCAGTTAGGAAGTCCAGAATCACGGTGGCCATCGACGCTGTGGAAAACATCCTCCTTAGGCCACCAGGAGCTGACTCGCAAGAGCTTCACAAAGAAGCGATATTGTTTGACAAGTACAGCAGCAAAAACGTCAAGCGTTACATCGAGAACACGACCGACATCCATGTCAAATGCGCCAACCATGGCTTTTACACGTTCGAACGTGTCCTCGACAACCTCGCTAGATGGCGGTTCGTTGTTGCTTGTGGTAAATAGCTCTGTGAGAAGTTTGGAATAACCTTCGGATTCTTCTCGAAGGAGGTTGTAGTTAGACTGTCGATAGAGGAGATTGGTCTGTTTGCGAATACCCATGCGAGCAAATGTATCGCGGACGAGGCCCAGTGACTGCAGGAGGGGTGTATCAAGTTGAAGACGCATCAGGGCTGAGTTAATTCCTGTAGAAAAGACCAGTGGCCGTAATGCGACGTTCGATGTGTCGGAATCTGTGACAATAGATAAAGTGTCGAGGAACAAAGAACGGGTATCAAGCAGAGAATCGGACGCTTCTTCTTCACCAACCATATCGATATCCTGAGCCGCGACATCCTCGCCTATGATTTCCTTAACTACCTTGCCTGTCTCCGTTGGTGATAACCGCCCGTGAAAAGCAGACCGGATGAGTTCTTGGTATATCGAGGCCAGTTTTGCAATATCCTGTTGTGTCTTTCCCTCAACGCCACGCTCGATCACATTCTGCTTTCCAGTCGCGTCCCATTCTTCAATGACCACGTCCGTCACATACTCATAGTCGTAAGGCGGCAGCGGGCCTGGGGGTGGTTGAATAGCAGGAACAAATTGCGGTATAGACGGAGGCGGGGGTAGGGATTGGGGTTGAGGTTGAGGTTGAGGTGGCGCAGGAGAAAGGGGAGGGGCCTGTTGTTGCGGGTTCACTGTCGATGACACACCGTTGGACTGGGTAGAATCGGGGGTTTCCTTCACCGGTGGAGGAGACATGGCGGTATCCTTTTGACCACCGGGAAAGTTCTGAGCATCACCACCAGCTCCTCGCCCCGGACCATTCCTACCTCCTCGACTAGGCTGTCTTCGTAGTCTACCGCGCGTCTCGGGATAGTCGCGGTGGTTGTGTTGCGCCATGTTGAGATTGCTTGGTCGATGGGGGGAAGGCCTTTGACCGTCGTTCCCAGAATCGCCAGACCACGTTCGGTCGCCTCTCTTCCTCTTTCCTCCGGCACCTGGAGCCATGACAGCCGTGTCAAAGCTTTAATTCTCAGGCAGAGAACCGGTGCTGTGTTCCTTCCGACAAGTCGCAACTCATGGGGTGAGGCTGGGATTGAATTATCAGTACCGACCGCGTTTGCATGATGAATGGCGAGGAAGGATAGAAAGGAATAGGATGAAATATACCTGCTGTCGAAACTCGGGGGAACAAAGCGACAAGTGCAATCGTCAGAATTATTCGTTCGTTGGATGAAAGAAACGGCCTTTGAAGCTTCCATTGGGTTCCCGTAATAATAAAGCACGGCGCGCGGTTGAGGCGCATGTGGCGTTTAGGTCGCTTAAGCTTGGCGCTAAGCTTTCCACTGATGGATTATCAAAAAAAGTGAATTTGAGGGAGAAATATACGATTCTTTTTATTATTAAATAATTTCATGCACAACCAGTCTATTCAATGTTAGTAGCGCTGTTTTGTTGTGTCAGATTCATCTATTGTTGGTCTTAAACAATAGCAAAGTACTACTCGACACTACGCGTGCAATATATAAATTGCTGTCTCTACATATACTACTTCCGTCATTGCTTTTTCTAATTCTTATTCAAACCACTACACTACAAGATGTATCGAAATGACTCTAATAGTAAGATAAAATAAAACCAAGTCATATTCATCAGTCAATCAATCATAAACTACAGGGATCATGGGTCTGTATAGCAGTTTTACACCAAGCCCAGACCCTTGGCTTCAATATCGACAATATCCGGAATGAGCTCCAACAAAGTAGGCTTCTGCGGTGTCCATCCAAACAACTTCCTGGCTCTGATGGCATGACCTCTCGAGTTTGTTCCCCAAGCGTAAAGCCCAAAGGGGTGCAACTCGGCCACCTGGGCATCTGGCAAAGTTTCAACATCCGGGGATGGGATCAGCTTCTTCTCATAAGCCGCCTTAGCCACTGCCCGCTGAATATCACCCCAGACGAACGATCCGTTCTCCGCAAAGTAGTATCCCTTGTCGTTCCAAGTGGCCTGTCCACCTCCTGCGGCAGCGGCATCTGCCAGCGCGAGATAGACATTGGTTAAGTCCTGGATGTGAACCTGGTGCCAGATGTTCTTGCCTTGTCCAACCAGGAATCCCTGCTTCCTCTTGAGAGCAGCAGCGCTCAGCCAGTACGCCTGGACGCTCTTCTGGTTTCCGGGGCCACGACCAGGACCGTAGATAGTGGGAGGACAGACAATCGCTACCTTGACGCTGTCTGGGTTGCGCTGCCAGGCTTCGATGATGATCTTGTCCACATCTCGGTGCAGGGCGTCATCTGGGAGGTTGAGGAGTTCATCGATTCCATCCCAGTCGTTGTGCTCCTTTTGCCGTTCAATACCGTAGGTGTTGTTCCGGAAGTCCTCGACGGTCAGGATGCCAGTGCCGGAAGTGTGAATCAACCACACAGGGTTTTCTGGAGTGTGGTGACTGACACCTTTGGCGATGGCTTTGGCCGCAGCGACGTGATCGCAGTCGGCGAAATCTGGGTGGATTTAGCTATACAGCTTTCAGGTATCAGGAAAATCAGGCTACCTACGGCCCACAATGTTTGCATTCTTTACTTCTTCTTCGATGATATCGGCAGAGTCTAAATCCCCAATGACAGCCCTCACATTGGGATATTGACTGGTGAGTTGAGCTGCCTTGGCTTCGTTTCGAACGAGGGCAGACAGCTGCCAGTCGGGATACGCGGCGGAAATCGCGTAGAGAGAATCTCCACCGATGTATCCTGTCGATCCTGTGCTGAAAGGAGGTTAGATTAGATGTGCTTGGTGATAAGATGAGATCATATGCATTTGATTGACTTACAGAAAAACTTTGGGAGCCATTGTTCTGTGTCTGTTGTGCAGAGTGTACCTATGCAATTGAGTCTGCAGCGGCGCAATGCGAGATGCAACTTTATAATAACCCCAGCAACGCAGGAGACGATCCAAGGCTGCTTTGAAATCAACAAGTGGCACGATGGATCCTGGTCGAATGTCATTGAACCACGAGAGCGAATGTGGAAGTGGGGCTTGTTCATTGAAGCATCATAGGTAGTATGGTGGAGAAGAGCCATAATTCGGTTCCGACGGAATTACCTGTTTTGCTCCAATTCGGAGACAATTTAGTTATCCAGGGGCCAGCATACATAGTGCAAAATAAGGTGTTTAATATGCATAGTAGAAAATAAGCAAAATCACATCACGTCGATAGAATCATACCACCGGCACATGACGTACTCAGTAGATGGGGAGTTAAAATGCGGGGTTGAATAACCTCAATAAATGTTACAGACGCAGAATCCAAACAATCTGCTTCCTATAAACACATCCCCTTCACTCGATAGTACCTATATACCATGAGTACCAAGCCCGTCATCCAAGGCAGCTGTGCCTGTCGCTACGTCCGTTATACCGTCTCGCAACTGCCCAGCATTGTGGTCAACTGCCACTGCACTGAATGCAGGAAACAATCTGGCGCTCCTTACCAGAGCTGGGCTCACTTCCATCGAGACGCCATTAACTGGATTGTTCAGCCTACCACTCGACGCTCCAGCAACATCGCAACCAGGAGCTTTTGTCCTCGGTGCGGATCCAGCATCACTATGGCTTACGATGTCGATCCCGAGATGACAGGGATTGCAGCCGGAACGATCGACGATGATGCATCGATTCCAGATCAGGTACCCAAGCCCGGTTTTCACATCTTTCTTAAGGAAAAGGCGGCTTGGTTTGATATTCCTGAGGACGGGGCGGAGAGGTGGGATTCTCATCCGCCTCGGAAGGGTTGGGACAGTAGGAAAGAAATCACTCGAGAGGGGCTGTAGAATCGATCCAGAGTGGATGTTTTCAAACAGGAGTCGACGGGAAGGAGAGAGCTACAAGAGGAGAATTGAAAACAACAAGAATCGTTACAGGCGGAGATCAACACAGGAAAGGAGCATGATAATTCGTGGAGAGAAGGCAGAAACATTCAACGGAAAACCAGGGGCAATAATAATAGCAGTCAAGGGGAATCTCACAAAACCATGCCCATACTTTACATGAGATGTTCGCTTTAAAACGTGCTCGTAGCTAGCCGACTGGCGGCATTCCTGGCATCAAGCCGATCCTCGTCATCTTCCTCGGCGATTGATCCAACCCCACTGGTGGAGCGTCCCCGTCCCTTTCCTGATCCATTTCCATCCGCCTCCTCGTCGTCCTCCAAAGTCGGCGATGCGAAGCTGCCGCTCATGCTACGAGCCATGCTGTCGGTACGACGGGGGACTCCACTCCATGCATCTCCCTTTGGACCTTGACTAGAGCCAAGATTCGGCCTGCGTGCAGTCGGATGCGCTTCACGGCCCAGACGGCTGAGCCCTCCGGAAGAGTCAATGGCACGGATATCAGGACGGACACTTTCCAAGGTTGCTAAGGTTCTGCGCTCGGCCTCGATTTGGCGCAGCGTATATTCGCGCAAACTGGCCAAGAGATCGTTGGATGTGCGCTCAAACCAACGGCGCTTCTCCGCCACCAGGTTGGTAGTGACTCGTTGTGTCCTCTTGCTCAGATAATCTTCGTTGCCTTCTGCCTCGCTGAGTGCAGTGAGGGCCTCGTCCACTTTGTCCGGACGTACCGAAGAGCTAATTTTCAAACGGTCTGCCGCAGCACGCTTGCTGCGAGTCGCCTGCTGGGCCTGAAGCAAGTCACGTAGCAGAATGTGACGGTTGGTCAGTGTCTCCTTGACGATGAATGCATCAGAAGAATGATAACTCAATGGCTCCCCAAGAGTGGTTGCCTCTGCAGTCGCCTGGACTGCGTGGAAGTCTCCGACTGTCTGAATGACCTTTCCGAGTTTCCGGTATGCGTTGGCCAAACCTGGGTGCGTTTCTTGTACATGCATTTGTCCCACTTTCACTCCGAAGTCCGACTCTGCAAGACCAAGTCCTAAATAATTCTTAATAAGTAACTGCTATGTTGTAGACTGTGATGGCCTGTAACATACCTCGTCGGCCCTTGACTACACGGTCAACTTTGTGGCTGGAATCCATAGCTCCGAGATAAAACATCTTAACAGTAGGTCGTGCACTTTGCAATTCTGGGGTATCATCTGGGGGCGGGGCGAATTGCTTCAGCATCTTTCTCCGGACCCCTGTTGCGGGCTGCTTCATCCGGACGACCGGGCTGTATCCGAAGTCACTCTCCACAAACAGTACAACCTCATCGTCCTGTATGAGGACGTCGTTACCAAGCACGGTATTCAACCACTTCTGCATAGATCCCTTGACTCTGATCTCGTCTTCCTCGGTTCCTGCACCAGCGGGTGTCAATGGCGGGGGGACTGCGGGAACAAACGCCTCCGGGTTTGCGGACATCAAGTGCTCCGCGAGTCTAACAAATTCAGCGTGGGTTCGACGGACGTCGCGATACTGAGTGGTCCGGAATTTGGGGACATTTGTCTGGAGATCGTTCGGGTTAGTTTCCGCAATCAAAACAACTATCGTGGGATAAACAGAAAAGCGAATTTCTTACGTGAACATCAAAACGAAGAATAGGGTCCTTTTTGCCAGTTCTCTCTAGACCTGTGATCCTAGCCTGGATTTTGTACAACGGAGCCGGTTGTTTGGCTTGTTGTCCCCCCCCCGCTTGGTACCCGGCCTGTGTTTGCTGCTGCGCTGCATACTGAGGATTCTGGGACGCGTATGGCGGCTGCTCAACAGCATAATCCGGATCGCCTAGTTGCGCACTCTGCAATCGTTCCGAAAGATCGGGTTCTTCATCGTCTCCGGCCCTGGACCCATACGGGGAGTCTTGCTGAGGGGGTAGCAGAGCGGGAGGAACGTCATTGTTGTTGGATGCAGGAAAGGTTGTTCCGTCCGGTGGAGGAGATGCCCAAGGAGAAGTGCCCGTTGGGTCGTTGGATATAGCGGAATAGTCCATTGTCGCAATTATGGGAAGTAGGGGTTGGTGTGGTTCGTTTCGGGGATAGGACCACGTCTGCCTGCATGCACCGCACTGGCAACAATGAGTATTGGATCAAAGTGGATAGCTATTTCCGTCGACATGGGGTTCACCTACCTGTAAACCCTCGGATATCAATTGAGAGCCTGCAGAAATTCACCGAGGGAATAAGGCGGGGAAGGAAAGCAAGTCTGGAGAGAAGCAGAGGAAGCGTTGCTGGACGGGCAGACCGAAGGTTACGTCGTTGGGGAGTCGGCGCCTGATTGGCCAGGCATCAGCTGCCTCCGATCATCTTTTCCTCTTATTGCCGTCTGTTTTTCTTGGACGCTTCAAACATCCTCCATCCATCTGTTGATGTCCTCCTTTTCATCGGATCTATGGAACAGAAACGATGCATGAATTCAAATAGAAATCTTTCATCCATTGTGATTCTACACGGACAGTAGCTGCAGCGATGGTCGCAGCTCCTTTCTTCCGCACCTCGCAGCAGGCGATGCGGCCAATTGCTCGACAATCAGGGCCTATTGCAGCAAAAAGCTTGATCAGAAGATCTGGAAGCTTGCATTTATCTTCAAATCTACGGAACTTCTCAACATCATTATCGAAAGGGAAGGCAGACATTCTTGACCGAACCCGAAACATTGGCATCATCGCCCATATTGATGCGGGGAAAACTACTACCACAGAGCGGATGCTCTACTATAGTGGGTTTACTCGACGGATAGGGGATGTCGATGAAGGCTCTACTGTCACTGATTTTCTTCCTGCTGAACGAGCTCGAGGAATCACCATCCAATCTGCAGCCATCACCTTCCACTGGCCACCTGAATCGGCCGGAGGTGGCGCGGAGGCGGCGCAGTCTCTCCCTAAATCTGCGTTGTCACATACGATCAATCTTATTGATACACCGGGACATGCAGATTTCACATTTGAAGTCCTGCGTTCACTGCGCATTCTAGATGGTGCGGTGTGCATTCTTGATGGCGTCGCTGGAGTCGAAGCTCAGACAGAGCAGGTCTGGCACCAAGCAAGCATTTACCGTATCCCCCGAGTCGTCTACATCAACAAGTTGGACCGGGATGGGGCGGCTTTTGGACGAACGGTGAGAGAGGTTGGATCCAGACTTGGAGGATGGCCCGCTGTCTGTCAGATTCCTTGGTTTGAAGGGGGAAATGGTCGCTTTGTTGGCGTTGCTGATGCGGTCAATCTCCAAGGGCTACGATGGAGCGACGGAGATGGCAAGTCTTTGAAGATGTTTGACCTCCAACAGCTTGAGGGCGAAGAAAGTCAACTTGCAAAAGAGGTCAAACGCGCGCGAATCGCTCTGGTCGAGCTTTTGAGCGAGCACGACGAAGAGATGGTGGAGAAATTCTTCGAATGCGGCGAGGATCATCTCGCGGTACCCCCAAGCGACATTGTCAATAGCCTCCGTAGATGTCTCCTGGAGCAACGGAGTAAGATAATCCCCGTGTTTGCCGGTGCCAGCTTCCGCAACATTGGGGTCCAGCCTCTGCTTGATGCTGTGATCAACCTTCTCCCCAGTCCCCCCGAGACCCAGGACCCGGAGGTCAGTATTGGAGATGTCAAGGGTTCTCTTGGAAGGTTACTCTCGGGTGATCTACTCGTGGAACAGAACGAGAAAGTTGCTTCTCCCAAGAGCAAGCAAAAGAAGAAATCCGTCGTCCAGGCAGAATCACAAAGCTCGATCAACAAGCTTGAAGGTTGCGCCCTGGCCTTTAAAGTAGTCAACGATGCCAAACGTGGCGTACTAGTCTACGTTCGTGTCTACTCGGGATCTCTAGACCGAAACAGCACCCTGTTCAACACCAATCTTAATGTCTCAGAGCGTGCTCCACGACTTCTCAAAATGTATGCCAACGATGCGGTCGAGGTAGACTCCATCCCGGCTGGACACATTGGAGTTGTCGTAGGCCTCAAGCATGCCCGAACTGGTGACACGTTGGTCTCTTGCGCTGGTAACAAACCAGTGCCGCCAGAGCCGCTCAACACCCTCCAACTCCGTCCAATCGATGTTCCCCCGCCCGTCTTCTTCGCTAGTGTCGAGCCTCACAGTCTGGGCGAGGAAAAGAAGCTCCAGGAATCTCTTTCCCTGCTCCTGCGGGAGGATCCCAGTCTGCACGTCACGGTTGATGAAGACTCCGGCCAGACCCTACTCAGCGGCATGGGCGAGTTGCATCTAGAGATTGCCCGAGACCGACTCATCAACGACCTCAAGGCCAAAGCTTCCATGGGCCGGATAGAGATTGGGTACCGGGAATCCCCACTGGGTCTATCAAAGCCCACCACAAAGATCTTCGACAAGGAAGTCGCAGGCCGCAAGGGCAAAGCAGGTTGCACCGTAGTCGTTGAACCATTTGATGCAGACACATCATCCCCACCACCAAGAGACGCTCTCTTGACCAAAACTAACGATGGAAACCAAGTCATCATCCTCGCTCCAGGGTTGAGCGTAGAAGTCAACAAGAAGGGCACCGAAGAGAGCCCTATCCTCCCACCCAGTCTCGACGTGAACAGCGTTCGAACCTCCCTTTACAATGGATGTCTTGCCGCTCTAGCCCGCGGGCCCCAATTCACTTTTCCCATGCATAGCACCAGGGTAACAATCACCCTGGATCCGGCAGAGCACATCTTCGGCAACGATACCACAACTTCAGCCCTCTCCGCTGCAGCCCGACTCTCTACCACCTCCGCCCTCCGCGAACTCATCTCCACTTCCACCTCCAGTACAGCTCTCATGGAACCCGTCATGAACGTCATCATCAGCGTGGACGAAGCCAGCCTCGGCGCTGTCGTCCACGACATCTCTTCTTCCCGCGGTGGCCACATCATCTCCCTCGACGAAGACATTCCCCTCTCTGCACCTGCCGAAGAAGCAGAGCAACCCCCTATCGACCCCACCAAGGTCTACGCACCCGCGGACCCCTTCGAGTCCCCCTCTGTGGATGTCTCCATGCCATCAACCGGAAACCGACCCAGGACCATCACCGCCAAGGTGCCCTTGAAGGAAATGGTGGGATATCTCAAGCATCTACGCAGTTTGACCGCGGGTCGGGGCACATTCGTGATGAGTGTGGACCGGTTCGAGAATATGAGCGCTCCACGACAGAAGGCTGTACTTGCAGAGCTGAGGGGAGATTACTACTGATGACTTACCCTGACTTAGATGTAAAATGTATTGTATCATATGGATGAAAAAATAAATGTATAATATGAACATTCTTGATTTTGGTTATCACTAAGAATAAATATCCAATGTCTAGTTGATCCAGAAACCATATTCTATCTATCAATCTAAACATGAAAATAGCAAATCATACTAACCGGGGAATGCAACAATCAAATCCTTGGATCAAAGTGAAAAAAAAAAAAAAAAGGACATAAAAAACTATGCATACGAATGTAAACCGGCGTGACGCAAAAAGCGAAAACGAAACCACATGCTTATGATTCAGAGTAATCATATCATAATCAATGAGAAAAAGCGAAAATGAAAGAAATAAATGCAACTACCAATCGTCATTCCACCCACTATCATCCTGCTTCTTCGCAGCCGTTGACGAGGCTCCGGCGGAAGTAGCAGTAGTAGATGGAGTTGGAGTCGCAGAGGCTGGGTTCGACCTCATAGCCGCTGTACCGATGGCACTCGATCTGGATGTATTTCTGCGGTGTGTCTCTTGCTCACTGAGCGAGGAGAAGTCATCCCAGAAGTCTTTCCGTTCGGGCTCTTGTTGCTGTTGGCGTCTTCGGGCTGCGGCGGCGGCAGCTTCATCGGGCCCTTCGACGAAACGGTTGAAGTGGTCTGCAGCACCGCGAGCACCAGTTTGGAGGTTTTGACCGAGATTGGCGGCTTGCATACGGGCTTGAGCTGCGAAGTCGGACTCCGATAGCTATATTTTATGTTAGTTTGGATTGATATAAAGGGTGGGAGTATTATTGGCATACTGTCTTTGCTGTGGGCTGGATATACGAATCATTGACGGTCTTTGCACTCTTACCCACTGTAGAGGCGAACCATCCAAATCCCTTGGTCAAAGTCGCCATAGGGTCTTTCTGGAAATCATCGAAGCCCGGAACATTGAAACCAGACTGGGGCCTGGATGACCCCGTATTCGCAGAGGGCGGCAGACCACCTCCAAATCCAGTAAACTTTCCACCCTGAGACGGAGGAAGAGCGTCCGATCGCGACGAGTTCTCTGAGCCCAATTTGGCGAAATACGCCTCGTTCTGCTCCTTCTTAGTAGCAGCCCCGGATCCGAAACCTTCCATCGGAGCAGGTGAAGCACGTCCCAACGGGGTACCCGATCGTGAAGCAGGTTTTGGTTCAACAGATGCCATTTTCTTCTTAGGTTGTTGCTGACCGGGCACGTATTCCCTTCCCTCGGCTTTGGCGGCCAGTCTCTCCTTCCACTCCTCGCCGACCTCGCCGTCGTACCGTTCCTTGATTGTGGAATCCTCGAATGTGCGGCCCTCGGATTGGGTTACGGCATGGTTGTCGAAGAAGGACCTCCAGGGCTCGTTGCCTCCGAGTTCCATGCGTTGGATTTCGGCGTTCTTGAAGGCGTCCATAGTGATGGAGCGGACGAAGGAGATGTGCACGCCCAGTCCGCGATGAGTTCCGGCGCAGTTCAGACAGATGAAGGTACCGAATTTGGGGGAGGCCTATATTATTCGTGTCCGTGAGTTAGCAGGTGTATCATTCCAGCCTTGTGGCAACCGTAGTGACGCAGTTGGTAACTGAAATGCAACGAACCCATTGGGGTGATGGTGCGCCACAGTCGCAGCATCGGTCATTTCCATTTGTTTTGGAGAATTGGAGAAGCTAATAGAGAAGAAAGAAAAGAGATCAGTGTCATCGTCCAGAACCACAAGATGCCTACTGCATCGGAGTGAATTCCTAGAATGAGGGGGAGCGCACCTTAGCCCTCGTCTCAGGGTCTACTTCCCACATTTTTGGCGCCATGACGATCGCTTGTGTGAATGAGTGAGTAGAAGTACAAGAAATGTGCAATTGCACTCAGCCCCTGGTTGGTGAAGGAGGTGTTGGATTATTTAAAGAGGATCAAGTGATGGTTCGATTGGCCCCCTCCGTAGTCAGTAGTGTGAGCAAGGCAGATTTGGGAGTGTCTGCGATTTTCCTTTTCTCCGATCGCCCCAGACGCGGTGGAAATGAGAAGAAGAGAGCTGAACGAGAAAAGCAATCAGATATGATTAAACAGCGGAATCCTCGAATGACCACATCCAAGCCAGAAGGCGACGGTTCTCATCTTCTCGACCCGATCGCCGCCAGTGCCAAGTCGTGATGTGGAGAAGAGAAACGAGTGTCTAAAACGCCGCGTCTCCATGGAACGGCTGAGGATGCGGACCAGGGAATGACGTTGGATGAACAGCTAAGCAGACAGCTAGCTGTTTCAAGATATTTACTCTGATTACTACATGGGATGGATCATGAACGAAGATGAAAAAGCGCCAGGAAGACAACTACAAGGCCAGCCTTGCGGCAAATTCGTAAGTTAAATGGTTGCTAAGATACAGTACAGCAGAAAGGCAAGATTCGTTAAAGTCAGGTCCGTCAAAACGAGATATTACTGCGTTTCCTTCATCTCTCGTCCCCTGAAAATGGATATCACACCCATTACCACGAGGAACAGAGTCATCATCCTCCACACTTATCACTTTGCCCAAAGACCATATCGAATAGAAATAATATTCACAGCTTCGGGGTGTAAACCGCATCTGCTTGATGCTCACTATGAAAATATCCATATACGACGGTCCTCAGCTTCTTTCTCCCCCGGCCCAACAATTGGTCAAGTCAATCGATGGACATACTCGTTCTGGACTGGAACGACCTGGTCAATTTAGGCGGCGGCCGGGGCAGCAGTCTCCTCCGCCGGGGCAGCGGCCGCTTCCTCGGGCTTGTCGGTGGCATCGTCCTCCTTGCCGGGGCTGTCGATGGCGACCTTGACGGCGATCTCACGGCCCTCAATCTCCTTTCCGTCCATCTCCTTGACGGCCTTCTCCTGGAGCTCCTCAGAGCCAAGGGTGACGAAACCGAAACCACGGCCCTTGCGGCGCTCGTTACGGGCCTGGAGCTTCTTGATCATGAAACGGGGAATGGGGCGCAAAGCGATCTTGGCAGAGACCGGTTGGTACTCGGCGAAGATTTCCTTGAGCTGTGCGGGAATTAGCAATCCAGAACCAAGAAATCCAGCAATAACATTGCATCGTACCTTGTCCTCGGTCAGATCATAGGGGAGGTTAGCCACCATGACCTTGGTCTTGGATGGGATGCCATCCTCGGGGGGACCACGCTGCTTCTGAACGCGAGCACGAGCCTTAGCCTGCTTGCTCTCTTCAGTGGGAGCTTCGTTCTCGTTGGTGGCCTCGGCCGCAGGAGCGGCCTGCTCCGAGGTGGTGGCGGGAGCCTCAGCAGTGGCCTGACCATTCTGGTTCTAGAAAGAATAACGATCAGTAAAAGAAAACATAAAAGCAATTGACAAGATGCGATATAACGTACAGCACGACCACCACGTCCGACACGACCACCACGGCCGCGAGCGCGGCCACGGCCACGGCCACGACCACCAGCCCTCTTACGGCCCTCGTTGCCACTGGCGCCCTCACCGCCACTTGCAGCACCCTCCGCCTTGGCCTCAGCAGGCTCTGGCTTACGGGCCAGCTGGACCGAAACCTTACGCTGGAGGATCTCCTTTCCAGACAGCTCCTCAATGGCAGCGCTGGCTTCGTGGGCCGTGGCAAGGTCCACGAAAGCGTAGCCAACCGGGCGGTTGGTGCGGGGATTCACAGGAATGGAGGTGCTTTCACTATTGGGAGAATTGTCAGAAATAATTTTTTTTTTTTTAAAAAAAAAAAAATAAAATGATAAACACAAATTAAAGACAGGAACGATAATGTCGAGTCAATTCCACAATGATCCGATTGCGTTGTCCGGAGTGGTGGTGTGGTAAATAGTTATGACACACGTGGCTAGGCGCCCACCCAACCCCAGCATGCAGCGGAAACCAACAGATTCGAAGCAACTCGACAACCAACAATGCAGCGAGAAAACAGGAGGACTTACATCTTGTAGTTCTGGAAGAACTCCTTGAGCTCCCCCTCCGTGGTCGCATACGCGAGGTTCCCAATGTACAACCGACGTCCTTCATCGGCACTGGCTGCAGCAGCATCGGTGGGCTGCGCAGGGGCGGCAGTGCCGTTGGTCGCCTCGTTGTTGTTGATGGAGGCGGAAGCCAGGTTATCGGCGAGGTTGTCGACGGCAGTAGACATTTTTGATGGCTGAGGACACAAATTGGAACCTTTTTTTGGTGGTTGGTGGTTTGAAAGTGGCGAGAGATTGAACACCGGTTGTGTGTGTCAAGGACTCAGGTAGCTTTGAAAAGGCTGCCTTTATTGAAATTAAATTGCTTGAGATGGGAAATTAACTTGAAGAGGGGGGTTGAGGAGTTCAAAGGGTAGCTTGGTGCCCTAGATACGGAGAGTTGAGGGGGGGAGGAGAGGGGGAAATCTTTGTTGGATTGCAACAACGGGAGATGTTGAGATTTGCCTTGAAGGAAGGATTGAAGGTCGACGAAAGGAAAGGAGAAGAAGAAGGCGAGGGGGAGCACAGAAACAGGCAGGCGGAGAGCAGCTGCCGGCACTAGGCTGAATGGGGTAGGCGAGGGTCCAGCGGTTTGGAGGCAGTTCCGGGGGCCGGTTAAGGGCCAGCTGGGGGGCGGTTTAGGCATGGTTAGGCATGACCGCCCCTGGAGCTTAGGGTGCAGTTAGGCAGTGCGGTTAGGCGTGGACGGCGATGGGCCTAGAATGACACTTGACATCATCTGCCCACTCCACTAGCGTATCTGGAAGCATCTGTTTACCTCACCGGGATTATCTATCCCACCGCCAGCATCTGTGAGTGGGCTTATCACAGCAATTGTCAGGATGGAGGATGGAATTGTCTGGTAAATTCATACCAATTAATATTGGGACATACACACTTACCCATCCAAGCCCAACACCGACCATCGATTCCAGCAATGGGACCATGATCAGTCCTACAATGCATCGGTACGATCTGGAATCTCCACCGTGCCAACCGCAGAGTCATCCTCTGGTTCAGTATGATGTATCCTGGCTCCACGGGCTGGTCATCAGTGGATAAACCATCGCTCTAGTGGAGTGCGTCCCATCGCTGAGGAATGGGCATTTTTGGTACCTGGTTCCTCAGGAATCTTCGTCTTTCTCTTATTATCTGGCCTTTAATTATTGATATTCAATGGTATTTTCTGCTCATTAATCCTCCTAGAATGGATACATGAAAATTGTCAATGTCTTCTGTCTGCGCCTCTTCCAAAAAAAAAAAAAAAACAGTGTCATGAGGAAAATGGCTTCAATTCTCAACAGCATGTGTCTGAATCAAAATCAAGCAAAAACTGGCCGCTCCGCTGGAGGATTTTCCATTGACAAGCCGTGCGCTGTACGCCAGCGTGTATGATTGACAACACGGCCATTGGCCACCCTATTCCACGCTCTTTGTCAAAAAGATTGGCGGCTATTCCTTTTCTCAGCCTCCACATCTGAGGCACCATCGAAGAATGTTGCATTCCCCCTATACTGACTTCTAAAATCACCTCTGCCGGCATTGGAGCCATCCCACAACCGCTGGAATCGCCCTTCTTCATTTAACCTCCGGCGCTTGGCAGTCATGATCTCTTCTTCGGGTGGAACGGGCTCAAAATTTCCAAAGCAGTCTCGCCGAACGTGCTGCCTAACAACTGGTGTAGGAGGCTGCCAGCTTCTCTTTGCCGGTCGCAGCGGAGGTCGCTTTGGCTTGGGAGTAGCGGGTTGAGGTGGATGTGATTTTTCTTCACCCAAACTCGAATTTTCACCTCCTAGGCTCGGCTCATCTTCTTCCAGGATCTCAATGGGATTGGTTTTACTATTGTGGTCTTTGGCAGATTTTGAAGTCGGGAGCTGAGGATGTCCATGGGTTAAAGGTGAAGACGGAACATCGCTGTCGTCGGAGGGGCTTATGCTCTTCGAAATGTTTTCGGCGTTTGTTTTCGTAAGTTTGCTGTTTGAAGGAGTTTTTGTGAGAGCATTGGCCTCGAGCCTTCGTCTGTATTGTTCATTCCAGCAGACAATCATCCGTTTTCCATATTCAGAGATCGACCAGTTTTTCTCGTCCTTCTGGAGAGCGAACTCAGGGTCTGTCAGGGGACTGATGACCACGGCACTGATAGCCTGAGACACCTCGCTGATACCGCACTGGTGCTTCTTAGCAAAAGCCTCGAAAGGGAAGAGTTTCGCAATTGTTTTCGCCATATCGGAGAAGAAATCGTCCGTGTAGGGGAGCTGTTGGTGTTCGTCCTCGATCGTCGTAGTGGTGGTAGACGAACTGGAGCACTCCTCGTTGCCTGTGTCTCTCCTGTCTGGGGAAGAAGAAAGGGTCTCGCTTTCTTGAGACGAGACTTCCTCGTTGGTGACTGCCTTGTTCAATTGTTCCTTCTTTCTGGGGATACTAAACTGCTCGCACGACCACTTTCTCTTTTCAGCCATGATGTGTCTTGGTTCGGAGGAAGGCGGGAGATTCAAACAAGGATGTTGGATATCAGGTGTAGTTGGACTAGATGTTTCAGCTCTGTTAGTGTTTATTTCACAGATAAAGCATCCATTGGTTATTGACTGCTCACTAGTTGAGGTAAGTTCGTAAGGATGAATGAGGGATCTGTGTAGGTTTCTGAGCTCGAGCGTATGCTGCCTGGCTTCACTTTTGATCAGAGTCAGATTATCGTTCTCTGAGAGTGATAATGTCTGATAGAGTGCTACGCAAGAAGGAGAGAAAGACAAGAGGGTGAGGCTCTGAAGTTATCTTGGTGAATTGATGGTGACATTGAATGAGACCGGACCAGTGCTTCTGATGCCATTGTCGAATGAGGCAAGGTCAATTGGTGATTGTTACTCCTTGAAGAGAGAATTATTATACTCTGTATAGCTCTTTCAATAGGATAGATTTGATATTGTCGCTATTATCCATTATTCTTCCGTTTCGTGGTATATCAGCAGATGTCTGTGCTTTAGTGTGTCTGTACTATAGAAATTGCATACATGCAAAGAACTCCATAATTTCCTGGTATGGTTCTCCAATTCTCCAGGTACCTACGCTGCAGGTTACTCCAGATGGTCCAGTTTACTCCATCTATCATATCGATCTAATCAACTGCTATATCATCATAATTCTACCCCCTACTTTTGATATCTGAACAAACCTGTTCTATCCAGGTACGTCATCAACATTCTTCACCCACTATCGACGTCGTCCCCGACGATCTTCCTGTCAATCCCTCTTGGCCTGCACCAACCACAGAACCAAGCAACTCGCCGCCATCTTTAAATACATCTCCATTGATGCGAGTGCCAGCTAATCAAATGCAAGAATACGAAAATAAAACCATGGTTGATACCGGTTCCATATCCAAGGCTTGACTGCTGAGTCAAACGCTTTTCGCAACCGAAGCCCGTCCGGTGATTGTCGCCGTTGGGCATAATCCGGTTATCTTGAAACGAAACGACCGGGGTTTATCTCTTTGCCTTTTTCTCCATCTTCTTTATTCATCTCCTCCCTGCCTCCCCCTTTTCGCTCTCTCGACATCTACATTCTTCCCATCCTGTTACCTCCATGGATCGCATTGAGCCGGCGGACGGCTCCGATGATCCCCGAGGCACGACTCCTTTCCCTCCTGCTCCGGAGAATGACAATTGCCCTGAGATTACCTCCACCCGCTCAACATCATACCAACAACGCCAGCAACCTCTTCTCCGCTCTCGTCGCCCGAGCATCCGAATCCAACGCCTCTCCTCTATTCCCTCCCTTAACAACATCCGAGAAAGTCCCGCGGAGACTCCGCGCAGTAATGGCGAGAATATTGGTCGGCGGCAAAATGATACCAGCACGAGCCCAAGTGAAGATGACGAGGCCTGGGCAGGGAACCGCCGTCGCAGCAGCTCCGAACCACGCCCAGGACGATGGTCATCGCCTGCTTACCCTATACCCATGTCGCGGATCGCGACACGCACTCGTTCGCGCTCGGGAATGCATCCGTTGGCTGAGGAGTCGTCAAATCTAAGTCCGATCGCTTCTGAACCTCGCCGTCCAACTTTGGACCAACCTCGCCCTGAACTCAGCAAGCAAGGCAGTCGCAATCTGTTGCGACGCACCAGTGAAGCAGCTATCAATCGGATATCCAGAAATCGCGCCTCAACAATAACCGGAGCCTCTCCGCCTCAAGCAACTCGCCCGGGGATCACTGATCGGTCTCATACTGAGTACGATCCTCATATCGTTGACGTTTTGGATGTTATTGGTAAGTGCGCAAGTCATTGAGACTAGGTTAGTGAGGAACCATGTTTTGACCACACAAATCCATTTAGACCCCGAAGTATCGGCTTTATCAACTCTCACAAACGTTCAAAACTCCCTCTTTGTTCCCAACCTGGGTGGCTTTTTAAATCGCAACCCGACTTATACTCTAACCCCGCCACGTGAGGCTGCCACCGAAGAGGAAACCACAACGGACGAGAACGAAGAACCGGCCGAGGAACCGAAACCACATACAGGACTTGAACGTCTACACCACTTTACTAGTCTCTCGTCCGTGCTACATGATCCTCGCTTTGCTGTCTTACCCGACGGGAGTAACCTGGATGGCTGGACCATAGCGGATGTAGAGGAACTTAACGATCATGTCAGACACATGTTACACTCTCGCCGATCCAAGTTCAAACGTGCCATGCGAGGGTTTGGGCAGTATGTTTCAAAGCGTAAGCGGCCCTTCAGATGTAAGGTCTGGTCAAACACGATTTACTAATGGTTGAGCAGCGCTTGGGTTCCTCATTACTTTGTACGCTACTCTCATCACGCTTTTTGGACTTGCTTGGGTTCTTTTCCTCATTGGTATGTTTTGTCAACACTTGCCTATCCTAATTTTACGGATCCTGACCTATGATGAACAGGTTGGATAAATGTCGGAGGAAAACAACTCTACGTTATCAACGTTATCGACAACGTCCTTGTGGCTCTATTTGCCATCATGGGTGACGGGCTGGCCCCCTTCCGTGCCATTGATACATACCATATGATCTTCATAGCCCACTACACTTTCTTGACGTGGAAGATCCGCAGGAAGCGAGACTTGCCCAAACTCAAGAACAAAAATGACCTCCCCTCTCGACGGGAAATGGACGTGGATGTTGAATTTGGCGACACCCCAAAGGATGAGGAGCATGAATTCTCTGTGCTAAACCGTCTCCAGCAGCTTCGTCTGATGCACCATCAAAACAAGCTCTCCAGATCTCATACATTTTACAAACCACATGAGACCGTAACCCACCATGCTTTCCCCCTTCGAATGCTCGTCGCCATCGTTGTCATACTCGACTGCCACTCCCTTTTGCAGATCGCCCTTGGAGCCTGCACCTGGAGTATTGATTATCACGTGCGTCCCTTCGCTCTAACCACCGTAATTCTCTGCTGCTCTATTTGCTGCAACATTACCGGCGGTGTCCTGATCATGATTGGAGACCGGAGATCCCGCAAGAAGGACGTAGTTGAGCGAATGTTCCGCCAGCAACTCACCGAGGAAGCGATCAAGAAGATGGAAAAGCGAAAAAGAAAGGAGGAAAGGCGCAATAACTCATTGGACCAAACTCTATCGCCAACACCCCTTGTGGAACGTTTAAAACCGGTTCATGGTGCTTGACCTTTTACCATGATACGCAGGGGTTTCCCTGCACCTATATAATTTCCTTACGAAGATTACGATTCAATTCTAGGTGGCAATTATTGCCATCTTGATAATTCACCGCCATATACCACCACCCATACTTAATGGGAATGCATCGATGCAAATCTACCTCGTGTGCCCTATTCTTTTTACGTGTACTGGGCATGATTTATTATACATTTAATCCTGCTCTTTTTATTTTTTTTGAATTTGCTTTTCCGCGCGTACACACGCGTGCACTATATATTATTACTACGACAGTTTAGCACAGGTATCTGTTTTTGAAAAACTGTCGAAATTATTACCCTCTATCGTTGAGTGACCTGAAAGACAAATGAAATACACGATGTCTGGATACTATTTAATTTTTTAAACCATTCTCCCTGTTCAGTTACATAGTATCTATTAATTTAAACTACATATCTGCCCAAGATATTAGACTGAGCAGTGCCCAGAATATATGAGTTTTAATAACAATAGCAAGCAAAAAAGTAGACGTAGAATTTGATAACAAAATGGAGACAAGAGCAAATGCTATCTAAGAATGGGTTTCGACAAGTAGTTGGCGCTCATGTACAAAATTTTCCCTACCAGAGTTCTTTGAAAGAAATCACAACAATGACAAAGAAAAAAAAGGAGAGATAATCGCTCAGATAGTTGTAACAAACAAGGACAATCGCTGATTGCTTCCTTCAGGAAATAATGACTTGAAAAAGATAGATGAGAAAAAAGATATAGTCAACACCTTGGTCCAAACACCAATGACCCGCTGACAGAAATGTAGAAGCAATGAAGTAAGAAAAAAAAAAAAGGGGGGGG